TTCTTGATGGGGATCAGGTCAAGAGATTTGGCTCAGTTTATTTAATGGCTTTGATTTCAAGAGATTCATTGGTTGAATTTAGTTAATATGGTCATTAACATTATCATCCATGAGAAGAAAATTGAATTTGCATGCATATCTAAAAAATCTTACATTCGACTATAAAAACTTATCTTAGTACTTTTGGACATGTACAGATTTTCTGTTAAACATACAGGAGAATACACCTGCTGATCATTATTGCTCCTCTTACCGTCATGTCTGCTTTTGTCATAGCAGTAATATTTCTGAGCATTTTTGGGAATGTTTTGTGTTTGGCTGGTTTTGTGAAGTGGTAAATTCTATCTTCCGGGTGGCTAAGATGCTTCAAACATTCATCGGTACTTTTCCATTTTGCTGGCGCAGATGATAAAATCGCCAGTAACGGTACAACGCATGCGCAGAAAGTTTTTAGCTTTCAGGTCCGGATTCTAGATCATTCCGGATTATGGGTGTCCGAATTAACGACTTTTGACTGTATATGTAAGATAAAAAATATATGAATCAAAATTATAGTTTAAACTAACGGTAAAACATTAATTCTTCCTCTCTATTCTAAAATCGTAATAACTTCTCTGCATTGCATCATTTCTAGATCACCGTATGGCCCGCGCAGTTCTGATGACGTAATAATTAGGAATTGTAAACCAAAACTTTTCTCTTCGCCGTGCTTCCATCCTTCATAACTACGCACTTCAGCTTTTGCTCTCTACTGTGCTAAGATGTAATTTCGCTGGCTTGCTTTCTATCTCAACAATACCAAAAATGTAAATCTTCTGTGGAAAGGCACGACTAGAGTGCCAAGTGATTGTGGCCACAAATATTAGTTGCAAATAAAAATGGAATTAAAACTGCCTTGACCTCCAAGTTCTTTAGATATTACCAAGTTAGCATTACTAGCATACTACACAATCAAAATCTTCTTCAATATGGGTCTAATCACGCATCTACAGTGTTCTGTCTTTTCCTTGTGTTTTTTATTATGGCATATATAGAGAGAGACTAGAAGAGAAACACGCTAATGTGACAATCAAAATCGTAAAAACAACCTTGTATTTAGCGTAAGTATATAGAAACACTCAATCGATTTCGAGGGCAGCTAAAGGTCTCTCCTCATCAGGAGAAAGAAATACCTAGAAAGAAGAAAAATAAAGGGGGGAGGAGTCTCAGAAACATGTGGTCCTTATCAGCACTGCATGTGGTTATGACCGGATCCAGTGTAACTCTGCGGCCAGTGTAACTCTGATAAAAAATCTGGTTATAACCATGTGCAGTGCTGATAAGGACCATGTGTTTCTGAGACTCCTCCCCCCTTTTTTTTTCTTCTTTCTTGGTATTTCTTTCTCCTGATGAGGAGGGACCTTTAGTTGCCCTCGAAATCGATTGAGTGTTTCTATGTACTTGCGCTAAATACAAGGTTGTTTTTACGATTTTGATATATATATTTATATATTTACTAGCATCTGATAAAACAACTATGTAGAGCTATGGCATCTTCGTTTTCGTAATCAATATTTAACCATCGAGGAACTTCAGTCTAATACGGCAGAGGTATTTGGTTCAACCAAACTGCTCACGTAGAAGTAGAGAAAGATCTTCATCCCACTTTATCTTCTGATTCCAGGTTTCTTGCAATTCCAGTTTCTTGCAGTTCCAGCTCGAATTACAGTTATCGGTGCTGTGCAGGCAATGGGATAAAAAATTTTCTGAATAGTTGATAAAATTTTTCTTTTGGTAATAAGTTCCCTAAAATCAGCTCGAATTACAGTTATCGATGCTGTGCAGGCAATGGGATAACAAATTTTCTGAGTAGGTGATAAAATTTTTCTTTTGGTAATAAGTTCCCTAAAATTAAATGTTTTTTTGATTTTGCAACTCAAGTTATAATACAGGTACAACTTTCGTCGTATTCTCTATCTCATCGATCATGTCGATGCAAAAATTTGATTGTCAACATCTTAAATTGAAATGCCCTGAGGCCAAAATCAATTTTGCTTCTTAAAGGAAATTTTCGCCTTCTACATTATTTAAGCTGATTAACAAATTATCAAAGTAAAATGAATCCTTCAAGATATTAGAAGTTTCTACCAAGGCTGTGGAGTCGGTAGGCAAAATGACCGATTCGAACTCCTGGAATTTTAGATTCCGACTCTTGTATATATATGTAAACATATACACATGGGCTGCAGCTTACTTTTTTAATATAAAAGAAGTAATAGATGCTACAGGAAAAAAAAAAAAATTCTTGGCATAGCAAATTATTTATATTAGCATTTATTATGAAATGGAAAAACTGGCATTAATAATTTCTAAGAAACTTTAGCAAGATCTTTTTTGTTAGAGGACCATAGATCTGATCTGATAATATTAAATTTTTGTAAGTTATCAGACAATGAGATACTGGAGACTTAAACAGAATTATGTATAAAGTGAAAATAAACCGCATAAAATGAAAAAAAAAGGACATTAATAGGATATGTGATCCCCCCTCATCTGTATACAAAGTTTACACCTTGTGACCATGCTTTCAATTAGGTGGTCAACCACCGCAGAATTAAGCAATCGTCATTCTTCTTGTAGAGCAGTTTCCAGCTGAATAAGAGTGGCTGGAGGTGTGAAACGTAAAGATACAGCACGACCGAGAGCATCCAAAGATTTTCAAGTGGGATAAAGGTCGGGCGAATATGCTGGTCACATGCCATACGCGCTATCCCTTCACTTCTCCAGGTAGTCATCGACAATGTCAGCTCTATAAGGATGTGCATTATCAGACATTTAAACAAAAGTAGGGCCAACTGCTGCAGCTTACAATACTCACAATGGTTTAGGACTATGTATAAAATGACAGCCTTGTATTAACAACCTTGTATCTTAAATCTTGATACCGGACAGCCGTTAAAGAACCCCGTTTAAAGATGTGCAGGTCGGTGCGGTATCCTAATAAAATCCCTGTCCACATCATAATGCTTCCGTCTTGGAATGCGTGATGTTTTGGGACCGATTGCGTGTTCGTTGTTCACGTCATATTCGTATACACTTGTCATCTGGCTCCAGAGCAAATCTTTTCTCATCAGTAAACATGAAATTGCCCAATCAGACACATTCCAATTGACATGTTCCCGGCACCACTGTAATCGTGCCCCTCTTGATTGAACGGTTAGAGGAACACAAACTCGAGGTACCTGGGCATACGGTCCACTCATATGTAATCTTTGGCGTACAGTGCCTGCAGATATCGCCTTACCAATGAACGCTGTAACCATAGGTGTCACACGTGTGTTGATCGCTCTGCAATTCCGCTTGGCTACAATAGCAATATATCTATCTTCCGTGCGGGTTATAACCCTTGGGCGACTGGCTATGGGTCTTCGGACAACTGTCTGTCGAATTTGGAATTGTGTCCATTAACGCGAAATTACAGAATGATGAACGCCGAAGAAAAGAGCAACATCTGTGATCGACTGTCCTGCTTCAATGCGCCCCACAGCATGCCAGTGCTCAGAATCTTCCATTCGTCTTCTGGAAGTCATAGAAACACGTTGTTCTTGAAAACAAATTGTATGAAAGTTTTAAACACCTTCTATTAGCACTTATAATCAACTTCTGTAACTCTTCATAAAGCTGGCTTCTTATAAGACTGCCTTTTTTGCATATTTCTTGACATGAAAGCATGATTGGCTGTTACCTAACATATTTGCATACTTCCATCTACCTCTGCAGCGAATTGCATCCTCTTCAATTCTGATTGGCTTCCGAAAATTAGCATTTTCCTCTCCATGCTTACTTTTGGAAGTGAGTATATTATCTTTGTATTCTTGTTGTTTTTCAATTTCCTTTTCTTATTTTATCAGTTTTGCACAGTCTTCGAATTTCATCATCAAGATGTGTCGAATATTTTTCCTTGTCTAAAAGTTTCTCTATTAAATCAACTGACTTTTCCTCTTTGTTTATTTCGCTTTCTAATAATTTCGTAATGTCAGTTTGTCAGTTGCTGCTTGTCTGATAAGGCCTCTATGCTTTTTCAAAATTTCAATATTCACTTTAACAATAAGTCTTTTATTATAAATTCTTATTCTTAACTTGGCCGTCCCAAACAGGGATGCCAAAAAATATGTGTAGATCAATCAGAATTCTAAAGGCAAAAAGAAATCTCTTACCTTTTCTATCTTCCGGGTGGCTGAGATGATTCCATTCTGGTCTGAAAGAAATCCTAATTCAAACATTCTTCAAAATAATTCACACTGCCACTTCTAGTAAATATAAAGGAATATATATTACATTTATATACAATTATCAGATTACGTTTACAATAACATTATTCTCTTTCCTTCATACAATCTTTCTAGTTCAATGCAAATCAGAGTTCTATTTACGTTTTTGTTAAGGTTATTCTAGAGTTTAGATATAAAGGTGCTGATAGTCCAGAGTTTAGAAGTAACAACTAGTTTAATTGAAATCTGCATTTATCTCCTTGAGCAGTAAAATAGAGCTTAGTTATTAGTTACAGGTTTAATTTTTTCCCCCTCTCTTTTCATTTTTCCTTTTTTAAATATTTTTTATGTACATGTCTTAAATGTTTTCTTATTTTAATTAATGATTTTACATTTGTATGCTGTAAAATAAACTAATTAAAGTTTGTATTGTAAAATACACTCCTTTTAATTGATGTGCAGTTTATGCTTGTATGTTTAAATGCAGTTTCTACCTGTACATCAATAATGCCTCATTGATTGATTACATTGCCAAAGTAAACTTCTTATATCACAAAACAGTTTTTTAAATGTTTTAAATGCACATATTTGTTTTTAGTGAAAGTATATGCTGATGCAATGTAATTTCTGTTCATTCAGTGATTAAAAACTCTTAAGAGTAAGTTATAAAGTATACCTTCCTGTCCAATAAATGTTATGTATAATTTTATCAGAAAATGTTTGTTAATTTTTTTTTTTATTTGCATTTAGGTACAGGAGAATCTGGCAAAAGTACATTTATCAAACAAATGCGAATTATTCATGGATCAGGTTATTCTGATGAAGATAAAAAAGGCTTTATAAAATTGGTATATCAGAATGTTTTTATGGCAATGCAAAGTATGATCAAAGCAATGGATATGCTTAAGATACCTTACAAGGATTTACGCAATGTGGTGAGTTATTTTTCTTTTAATACTTTTTATGAATTGAGAATTTTTGTATCAAATCAGGTTTGTTAAGTACTCATATACAGGGTGTCCAGAATTAAACTTAAAATTTAGGAGCGGTCTGGAGCAAAAACTATGCAGCGGAATTGCATGAAAATTGGGTAATGGCAGAATCAAAAGATGGGAATTTTATTGAGGGAAAACGAACAATGAGTTTCAAAAACCACCCCTAGGTGGCATATCATAGCCTATTTATTGAGAACATATAAAAAATCTACAAAACATGCTTCATATGATACCCACTGTTGTCTGCTACCATCTGGAAGTGTAAAATCGCATGTTCGACTGTTGAAAGCAGCGTGAACTGAGGAATGATACGCACATGGTGTTCTATGCTTTTTTTAAAGTTGGAAAGAGATGTGATGGGATCATGGTAGACCATGTCCTTGAGGTATCTCCACAGCCAAAAGTCGCAAGATTGAAGTCGGGAGATCTAGGAGGCCAAGCTGTAGGAAATTGCTGGCTGATGATTCTATCATCACTGAAATGGTGGCGGAGCACTTGTTTCACACATTGGGCGATGTGTGGAGAAGCACCATCCAGCTTAAACAATGTGGTTGCAGTGTTGCCAGATCATGTAAATTTGTGAAAATTTGTGTTTCTTTTGGCAAACTTGTGCTACTAAAATTTTAGTATTTGCGATTTTGCGACATCCATCATTTTCTATGATATTTTTTGCGACTTCAAAGTTTTTTTTAATATATCATAAAATGCTTTCACTTTAAAATAATTATCAATTAAATATAATTTATATTAAAAAAATGGTTTATTTAGGCTTAACTAGAAGTGACAGCTGGCAATATCGAGGGCATTTCGAGAAGTAAAATAAAACGTATGATCAGAGGAAAAGAAAAGCTTTCGTGAGCAATTGGTAACACAGGGTAACCTTGAACCATTAGTTCTCCTCGTGGTCTTGGCATTTCAACGTTGATTCTGGTTGGGTAGGTCGTGTTTAAAATAGCTGCGCCGATTCAAAATACTGCCAATGCGAAGGCGCTCCTCATATGTTTCTTCATGCAACGTTCAGCGACCAGCGGTATTCACAAAGAATTGTTTATGTTTGGGACATTATGAAGGAAAAATGTAACGAAATGTGTAGTATTTCTCTGAGGTGGACGATGTCTGACAACAAAGAACGGTCGCCACTTGATCTATTATGCTCTTCTTCAGAACAGAGAAGCAATTCAGCGAATAGACGTCCAAATGCAAGAACTACATCAGATCAACGAAGTGTCAATGACAACTCTTATGAATTGTGACTGTCAGTTAGGACAGGAATTTGTGCGCGCTGGGTTCCAACAGCGGCAACTCTAGACTGTGGGATACAAGCTGTCACCGACTTAAAATGTTGGATAACGGGGGGTTATATGTCAAAAATAAAAAATAATCCAGTTAAAAAGATGTAACTGACGTTTTCTAAATAAATGTTTTTTTTTTAAGGAATGCGAGCCGTTGTATCTTTACTTTTCGAAATGCCCTCGTAGATGTGGGTTTTTCCTTTTCAAGGCTGCACAGCCTGATGCTGCTATAATGAGAAAAGGGTAAGGGAAGTGAAAAAAGTAGAAAGACGAAGAAAAAAAAAAAAAAAAAAATGCTTCGGATCCTCTTGACCCAGTGCATTTTGTTTTTAAGTCAGTTCCCTCCCCTTCAGTTCTATGGTGATAATGAATCGAACCAAAGAAGTTGCAGTTTGCGCACCATATATTGGGTACCCAAGCAGAGAAATAAATTCACACTCTTGATTATAATATTGCTAGGAACTAAGTAATGAAAATGACTTGAAAATCAAAGCAACGGCATTTTTTTTAAATAACAACAAAAATAAAGGTAACAGTGAAAGAACAAGGCTTTCTTAAGTAATCGAAATCCGAAACAGATCTACCACACAGAACGGAAAACTCACTGAAAAGCATTCCTCAATTAAAATGTTCACAATTAAAGAAAAGAAAAAAAAAATCGTGAATTAAAAAAATTAACTACCAACTCAAAAAATTTAATAGGAAAGAGTTAACAGTCTGAACCTGAGGAATTTCTTAAGAATGGATATCTGCAAATTAATTTAAAAATTGACACCTAAATTAAATGAGAATTAATTAGAAAAGAAATGGATATTTAAACAATTGAAAATGAGCAATATAGTTTTTAAATTTTTGTTAAGCTAAGATATGTAATTAAAAAGATTGCATGCAGTCTGCAACTTACAGAACCAATAGACGGTAAATCATCAGAGGTCATGTCAGCCTGCGTAATTATGATATCATAAAATCACGGAATCTCTGACATCATTTGTGACTTTTTGAGTCATCTTTTGCTACTTTAGTTAAAAATTTTCTGGCAACACTATGTAGTTATATCACATCGCCTTGTCTGAAGAGCCGGAATAACGGATTGCTCTAATAACAAAGTATATCGCTGACCGGTGATGGTCCATGTGACAGGCCCTGCAGCACTGTGCTCTTCGAAAACAAACAGACCCACAATGAAGGTTGAAGTAAAGCCGCACCAAACCGTTACATGCAAAGAGTGTAATGGAATTTGTAGGAATTGATGTGGGTTTGTAGTAGCCAAATAAGGCAATTGTGCATGTCAACCGCACCTTACATAATGAAAGTGGGCCTCATCGGTCCACAAAATGTTCCATGGCCATTCATCCTGGAGCTCATCTTGCACAAGAAAATGCAACACAAAGCTATCCAGATCAGGTGGTAAGAGATACTGCACTAGCAACAGTTGGTAGGGACAGTCCTTTTGAAAAATCTTGTGGAACGAGGTTGGTCAACAGATGCTGCAACACACTAAATACTAGTACTGCCGATGGTTGCGATCGTCTTCACCATTCGTCGCTACATCATCAACTACCTGTGCTGCAACACACTTTGTCCGCTTCCTGGCTGAATCTCCAATGTTCCCGTTGCTTCAAATTTCCTAATCATGTTTGTTAGTCCTTGACTAGTGAGTGAACCTTTTTGTAACCGCTTCCCAAAGACCGAAATTTCCGCAAAGCTTCGATAGCAGAGTCTCTGTTTTTGTTAAAACAATTTCACCAGTAAAGCATGTTCCTGGAAAGTCAACGCCATCTTCCTTGACTTGAAAACCAGTATGACTGCACTTCGCCTCTCGCATCTTTATAGGTTTGCTGCGCACGCACAGGATTACTGTGGTTGCGACATTTGCATATGCCATTAATTTACATTCCACAATGCTATATCGTGGTGGTTTTTGAAACTCGTTGTTCTTCCCCCTCGATAAAATTCCCATAATTTCATTCTGCCATTACCCAATGTTCATGTAATTCTGCTGCATAGTTTTTGCTACAGACTGCTCATAAATTTCAGATTTAATTATGGACACCTTGTACTTTGTAATGCTTAAAGATAATTACAATTTTTACAATTTTTATGAAACATTATTTGATTGTGAACATTAACCCTTTGGGCACACATTTATTTGAATTTTTTTTTTTTTTTTTTCACTTAGAGCATATTTAATTTTGCATGCAAGTAAGAACAGTTAGATTTTATGCAAGAATTAATTTAAGAAAGAATTTCTTATTATTCATTATATATACTTCTACATAATATTAAAATAAATTTAGGCACTTAGTATTACAAAATACTTTTAACCAAATAATCATAGAATTGCTGAAACTCTGCATTTCATACACTATCATTCTCGCTATGTACTGAATAATCTGTTTTTACTATTAAAAAAAAAAAAAAAGGATTTCACAAATTTAGCTATGGAGCACAAATTTTGATATATAAGATTTCATAGTTTACAAAATACAACTTCATAGAATGTAAATTTTTTGTGTTATCTACTATTAAGCATATTTTTGAAGAAATACACCGCTCTCTTTTTCATCAGCCAGCAAACTCTACAGCCCCACTGCAGTTTCTTACAAGGGAAAAAAAAAAAAAAAAAGGTTCTGCTCCATTTCCAGGGGCCGTAAAATATCACCTAGCTCAATGTTGTAACCTATCACAGTTCATGAGTTCATTCATTAAGTTGCACAGTGCAAGGGTTCCTTTAACACAATTCACAAGTTCAGTTTCTTTTTGCCTGTGAATTTTTCACAAGAAATAAATATTCATTAAAAGTATTTCTCCCCTCCCCAATGTATTTCACAATTTGAGAATTAGCTATGGCTGAAAAGTATTTTGAACAAGTAGCATCATCAAAAATAAACAGTTGTGCTCAAAAGATCATGAAATGAGTTTTGGACAAAATGCTGTGAAATGGTGTTGGAAGAAAGGATCTTGTAGTGATAGAAAAGGATGGGAAAAACAAAATTGGTTAGAAGGTTCCAAAGTCCCTTTCCTCATGACTGTGAGGTTCATGTACTTCTGGTGCCAGGAGATCAAATCGAGTGAATTTTGTGAATTACAATTTAAAATGAACCATAATATTACTGTACATTAGAATAGTTACATGTGGGAGGTTTGCACAACAGCTTTAATAGCCTGGTCAACAGTGAAAATTTGTGGAAGCGACAAGATTATCGAAATGGAGAGAAGCTTTTTCAGTGGGGGGAAAAATCAATGTTGAATTTAATGTTGAACTGGTTGTTCCACAGCAGTGGGTCTTTGGTGGATTATGCATTTATTAATTTCACTCTGTTGATCCAGACAGTAGATGTCATACCGAACCGTAGAGTATCTGTGGGGAAGCACTAAAATGGTGCAACAAATGGCATCGAGGCATAGCTAGACAACACTTCGAATGATACATGTCCGAGTTTATATGCCGACGAATGCATAAAAGGACTAATATTTTTCCTTTGATGTTGGAAGCTATTAAAAAATTTATTCTTCCTCTATAAATTAATGATCCAAGATTAGATCTTAATTTCAAATTTTTGCCTTATTTTCTGTTCGATATTTGATTTAATGAAAAAAGTTAACTATCGCCAGCGGCTCTTCAAAATGGAGTAGTACAAAAAAAAAAAAAAAAAAAAAAATACTCGGTGCAACCAAAACAAACATTAATGACCAACAAATTTAACTGGTTAAAGCACTGGTTTTAATCAGTTTGGTAAAACCTTGTAACTCTGATTTTGGTATCAGTATATTCACTGTGACTGATTGTAAAAACAGTAATAAAAGTTTGTTATGCTTCTTCTTCTGTGTGATCTTTTTATTTTAAAAACACACATTTATTTATGTATTATTTTAGTTATTGCAAAATTAGGTAATAGAAATTATTTTGCCATATTCAGATATGTATGTATGCATGCATGCCCGTATGGAGGGATGTATGTGTTCATGTACCTAATTTGCATGTACGTACGTACATATGTATATGTGTGTACACACAAACACACACATATATGCACATACATACGTTTCTGAATATACAGGATGAATAACCATCCAGTCCATTTTTAGTATATTATCATTAGTGATTATAAAAGCATGAATCTGCAATTCATGATAAATATTATGTACAGCATTGGTGATATCAGAGAGATTATATTAGGTTAAACTAATGGCTTGTCTTAATTTTTTACCAATTGTAATTTTGAAAAGCTCTGAGATGGTCTTTAAATTAAGTCTATCCTGGAAAAATCTGGAAGCTTGGTTATTTTATTAGAATAAAAGATATTATCTTCATCTATTTTGTATTTATTATAATTTAAAAAATATTTGCTGCTTTCTCCTTTAATCTTTGCTTGTCTGTTTTTCCCCCCCCCTCTAGGACCATGCCGAACTTGTTCGATTAGTTGACTATGAGACAGTTACAACTTTTGAACAACCATATGTAATAGCTATCAAATCACTTTGGGCCGATTCAGGTATCCAAGAATGTTATGATCGTAGAAGGGAGTATCAATTAACAGATTCAGCTAAGTAGTAAGTATTGTAGAAAAAAAAAATTTTTTTTTTTGAACATTACAAAAAATGACTTATTCAGGGTAGTGTCAGGGTTCATAGCGGTCCTTGTAAGTGATTATAAGTCCTTATATTTGAAAATAAAATATAAAGGGCCTTATAGGTGCTTATTTTTTTTTATTTATTTATTTTTTTAATGAACGCGCTATTTTTTCCCGAACCAAAGCCAAAAGTAAATAAACAACTTTTCTTCCTAATATGGAATGTCAGATGGTGAGTCATGCTCCCGGAAATAGCTTTTCCTCCTTTCTCTGCATTAACATAACCTTTGGTGTGCACGAAGAGTACAGACAGGTACCTGACATTCTATTGGTCAAAGAATTGCAAAAGCAGTAGAAAATTCCGCTACATTCGGCATTCTTTTCCTCCCACCCAAATACTACACACGTTTGAATTTCTATCAAGATCTAAAAAATTGGCATTCTCGTTCTGCTTGGTCAGTTCGTATTTGTGTTTATTATGATCTTTATGCTTATATTATGAGCATATATATGAATGTTTATAATAACATAATTGCAGTAACTGCTAAAGTATAGTAAACAAAAATGGTTGTGTTTTAACACAGATTAGCTTTCTAAGGAATAATATTCAGAATGGCTTAAATAAAGGGAAAGTAATAGAATAGTCAAAATAATTTCATTTTTTTGGCCAATGCATTATACAGTAGGAAGGTTGGGAGGTCTCCCTTTTCTCCGCAAAATATTGAATATTGAAACTGTTACAGTTTGCTGCAAAACAAGCAACGGACCTTTTTTTTTTTTTTTTTTTTTTTTTTTGGGGGTCACTTTCCATCTGGATTGAATAGGTCAAAAAGTTCCTGCGGTCTACCAACCCAAGCGGAGAATTGTTCTATTCCGGAAATTTAACGCCATCTGTTGAAATTTAGAATGAAAAACACTCCAGTTATTTAGTTCTTTTTTCTCTCAATACTGGCAGTTGTTGATTCTGATTGCGTAATATCACGTAGGGAAGAATTATGGCGCACATATTGCGCAAGAATGTTTGCGATATTTTACAGAGGTAATTAATTTGATGTTCAGTCTGAGATTTGTTTATGAACACTTCAAAGAGTTTCACTGTGCTTGCTAAGCAGAATATTTCCGTTGGTTTATTTTTATATGATGCACATATTGAAATGTCAAAGCATTTATTTAGCGGGAAAATCTAAAGAGCGGCTACAGTCTACCCCCCTCCTCTCCTTCAAGTTACGCTCGACTGTCCGAATATTCGCCAATTTCCAAGTATGCGGGTTAGTTAAGCTTTTACTGTTAAAGATAACTGCATGAAGCAGAATTCTGTCTTCTGATTTCAGAAATGTTCCTCTTTTTCACTTAAATTACTTTGCTTGCAATATCTGTTAAGAGAAAACTGATATACAATGAAAATTTAGAAAATGTTCAGAATTTAGATTTAAATTATTTAAATATCAATATGAGTGGGAAAATAAATTGTGTTTATTATTAAGTTCCAAGCGAATACAATAAATATGCCTTATTATTATTTATTTTCTCTATTTTGAGCTGAAATTTCATCATTAAATCTTGTAATATAGTTTAGTTCTTCATAGTTTTTTTTTTCTCTCATTGTAAACTAGATCTGTAAATTGAACTATTATTTAAAAGTAAAAACAAAAAAAAAAGTAATTATTTTCCATTGTTGAGGTAATCCTTATTCTCTCTTAATAAGTACTTCATTTCTCATATTTTAAATTACAAGTCTAATTTTAAAGGTTTATGCAGTTGTGTATGATGTAATTAGACAGGTGCTTATTTTTTCTCTTAAAATGTGCTTGAAAAGTGCTTATAGGTGCTTATTTTTTTAACTAAAATGGGGCTATGAACCCTGTAGTATGTTTACCCAAATTTATTGAAGCATACAATCGATGTGTTTAAGTCTTTAAAAATTGAAGATTTTATATAAAGTTTTTAAATTGTAAACTAATTAAAAATTTTTACTTCTTTGACTCATCAGCAGCTATTGGTATTTATCAAGATAAGTTTTGTACTTGTCTGTTAATCGGTACCTGCCAGTACATTGTTGAAAAAAACCAACCTAATTCTGATATATGTAAGTATTTGGTAATCCTAAAAGCTACTTCAGATTAAAGAATAAAAGAAATTTTTACATATTTTTTCCCTCCTCTTATTGCTGCTCTATATCTTCTTCCCAGAGAGAGAGTGGAGATAGCTACTTTTTTTTTACGTCAGCATCAACTTCAGATTCAAAATGAGCAACATACCTACATTGCATAATTTTTATCTTTTTTTGGGGGGCATAGCCCATTTTCCCTTCGGAAATTCTCAGGACAGCATTCGTTTCTCTTGTGAAATTTTTATTTTTATTTTTCCATACATTTATCAGATTTTCGAAGAATGAAGCAGAAATAATCTTTATTTCCAGCCATGTGGTAGTTCACCAAAAAATCATAAGTTTTTCAATTCTTGCATTGTAAAACTGTATGTGATGGAAGATATACGATGGAAAATTTATCTAAACAAAGCCAATAAAATAAGAGCTGAGATTTGGTTCTAGAGAAGGTATTTATTTGCTTTTTTAATTTAGACGAATTCATATAAAGTCGGAGACAAGCCATGAATACTAATTTGATACAATATTGGATGATATTGTTAAACAGCAGTTGCCGAAAAAAATCCATCTAATGATATGAAAACATATTTTGTAGCCAAAAGTTGGCAATAGATTGTTGACAATATATCAATAAGCACCGGTTACTCAGCAAGTGCAGCAGGTACTATAGTTTCCAGTTGAGATAGTTATAGTTTCCAGGTACTATAGTTTGAGATTTAAAAGATACAACATGTTTTAATCCAATTTAAAAACTTTTGTGCAACCAGTATGAAATTAAATAGTGAGTTTGAGTTGAATGATAAATTTAACTTTTAAATATGATTACTGCTTTTACATTTTGGCAACTTAACTTAAGCATGATTCTTAGCTAGGTAAAGCAGTTTAAACAGAGACTATCAATTTTTTCATGCTAAGTTATTTACAAGAGAGAAAGCTGCCTATGAATTCATTACTTCCAAGATAAACAGGTAGATCTTGGGATCCTTGACCATCAAGGTATTTTCACAAACAAAATATGCTCTGTCTATAAATATCCTTAGGTTGCTTTTATTTTCACAATATTTATTTGTCATGTCATTCAGTTACAAAAGTACTTATTCTTATTATAATGTTTTCAAATTTAAAAAAATCATGTTTGTGAAAATTCTGAAATCTTTTTGTTCTGGTCCGGGCTTTGTAGTTCAATAAAATGTTCTCTGGCATCACAGTTGCACAGGATCGCATGCCTCCCAATATCCAGGTTGTAATTACTCCTCAAGTAGATCAAAAAGAAAGCATTATTTCAATCTTGACATTTCCCAACATAAAAAAAAAAAAAAAAGTCCGTTTTAAGAGCCAGAAAATACATGAAAAAGAGAATTATATGTAGTACTGAGAAATAACATGTACTTCTTTGTTATAGCAGCCGCTGAGATTGAATGGACAATCAACCGAGATATCTCGCCAGACTCTGGCTGCTTGTTCTTATACCTCACCACATGATCGTTGTGTTCTTACACTCCACCACATAATCTGATTAATTTCACTGCATGTTCTTATATTATTCATTTTTGACAAGGTTTTGAATTTGCATATTATTTTTTAAATATGTACATTTCTTTTCTTGTTGTTGTGAATATGAAGTTAACAATCTTTAATTTACCAAGTAATGATGTGGATGTCATATAATTTTTTCAAGAAAGAGGTCTTTCACCTGACAAACGAGTATGCGAAAATGGCCATCACATGAAACTTTTAACAATGAAACCATTTGGAGGTGCAATGTTAAAAATTATAGTAGGAAGAAGGGCCTCTGTGTTGGAAATTGGTTCATTGGTTCTAGAATATTGTTCATCACTCCTGTTAGATTTATGTATTCTTGGGCAGAGGGATTGACATCCATGAAATAGTATAAGAAATATCTTAATATGTGTGAAAGTGCTGCAGTTGAGTGGTAAAATTACATGCGATAAAATAGTAACAATAAGAATAAGGATTCTTAAAAATATTCTTAGGAAACAATATGTGAGCGTTATTGTTGTTATTACATATTGTGGTTTTTATTTTTACGTTCGCTCTTCACAAGCTTGGTGAAATTATAGGAGATCTTCGCGCAAATCTAAAATCGGCAAATATGGTTAGAGGCTGCTATACCAAAGAAATACCACTATAAATTTCACTTCCATATGAAATATTCAGCAAGATATTTCATTTTAAAATCATATTCAGGGGGTCATACATAAATTGAAGAGTGAAATATTTAAATTTGTAAATAATTAAAAATGAAATAAGGATTTAGAAAAAACTGATGGTAATAGATTAGGTGATGAGGATTACTATGGAAATTATCATTAAATGTTTGGATCAAGTTAAATTTTTCCTAAAGAGAGATCTTTTTAATAGAATCTGATAGAATTTCTAATCTAGAAATCAGTGGTAGGTTTTATTATTAGTGCATAGTATTCTAACATTATTGCATAAATTGCAAGCAAAGCATGAAATCCAACATTGAATTATTATTATTATTTTTAATCAACCTTGCATGGAAAAACTAAAAAAGATGGCAAAAATCCTGTATTTAAAAATTAACTAGCTCAATCTTTTTTGTGTTTAATTTTTTGCAGTTACTAATGAACACTATTTAAAACAGTTTTGAAGTTAGAAGTATGTCCGCAAAGAAAATAAGGCCACATAAGAATTTTATGGACATAGTGCATATCTATCTATATGTACATATGAACACCTTGCAAAAAAGAAGGGGGGACAGTTTTATTTCTTCCATTCTGCTAGGCTTATTGACGAAATTTAATATGCATTTTTCATATGTTGAAAGTGTGACTTAAGATATTTATTAGATTTAGTATATATAGCAGATATTTTGACACAAAACTAAA